ACCAGACAGAAACAACACATTCTGTTCTAAAAAGCAGCCTTTTAAAAAGGCATCTTGGTTCTCAAAAGAAATCAGATTATGGATATTCATAGTGATGATATGTTTTCTCTAAAATCTTACCATGTTGTCTGTATATTGTAAATTCAAATAGAAAGTAAAAGTTTCTTGCCCTAATTTTGTATGTAGACTGTTGCTCTGATTTCCCACAGCTTAGGCTGCCTGTGACTTTCTCCGTTTGTTTGTGGGAGGTGATTCTGGTCCCAGCAAAGGCATTCTCGTGTGTCCCAGGGGGTTTATGTCCCTTATGAAACATTTAAAGAAATGAATTACTTCTAAATCACGTAGTAATAATTCTAAGCTTTCAGAAGGATCCTTCTCACCTGTGCCCACCCGGGCACACTGCACTATCTTGGTGACGTGGCGTGTCAGCCTGGGCGCCCTCACATTTACTTGCTGTTTTTCAGCCCCTTTCTTGACTAGCTCAGTTGTGAAAGACTTTCTGGCGTAAGTTAAAGGAGCACAGATGTTATCGTGGCTCTCGGCAGTGGGAACCTTTGTGGCGTTTACAGTTGGTATGATGGCTTTGGTTTGAAAGCGTGATGCCCAGCACTCTGCTTGAGTGGGTCAGGTGGTGGCAGCTGTGAGGGAGATGCCTGGTGAGTCTGCTGCTCGTTTCTAGGGTAAAAGCAACTATGGAGCCTCGTGCCAGCCGTGAGAGTGTCAGCAGTGCATGGCAGGGACCACAGCCAGGTCCTCCTGAGTCATCTGGATGTTTCCAGAAGCCGGCAGCACTTTCTCAGGGAAGGGCTGGGGCAGAACCCTGGCTGAGGCCAGGCTGTGTGCGCGTGCAGGGCGCAGGTGTCTGCTTGGCGTGGTTGGAAACCCTGTGCCCACTCTGATGGCCCCGCCAGTGCTCTCTTCTCAGCTGTCTTGAGAAAAGGTTGTGGATGAATGTCAGCAGGACAGTCCCTGGCAGCTGGCTGCCATCTGGTGGCATGCCGTTCCCACCGGTCTCAATCAGGCTTCTGGTGTGCGGTTTTCACTTTGGCCAGACTGAGGGTATTGTTACCAACTGGAGAAGTCTTCAGTCATCTGTCCCAGACTAGGGGACAGTTTCCATCATTGGCGTCCCTGGGCCCTGTGACTGGCCCAGTCCAGATGCCCTCAGCCCTCCCGTCCTGCAGGCGTTCACAACACACAACACGCACACTCACATGCTGAGATCCCTGGGGGCTGCCCTGACATCCGTCAGCTCCCCACTCCCTGGTCTCCACAACTGCGCCTGCCCCGAGTCCAGCATTCAGAAAGTAGACCCCACCAGCTACTGGCCAAGCCAGAAGCCATCCTCACTTTGCTGAATCTACGTCTGTCCCAAATGCAAAAGACTGAAAAGGCCGTTGATGGAAGGACCACATGGAACAGCAGGTATTTGAGAATGGAAAAGCCTGCAGGTGCAGTGGCTCATATGCTTGGGAGGCTGAGGCGGACAGATCACTTGAGGCCAGGAGCTTGAGACTGGCCTGGCCAACATAGTGAAACCCTATCTCTACTAAAAATACAAAAATTAGCCAGGTGCAGTGATGCACACCTGTAGAACAAGCTGTTTGGGAGGCCGAGGCATGAGGATCGCTTTAGCCTCGAAAGCGGAGGTTGTAGTGACCCAAGATTGTGGCACTGCACTCCCACCTGGGTGACGGAGCTAGACTATGTCTCAAAAAAAACAAGCGTGCTCGGAATTTGCACTAGAAAAAGAAACTGAAAATTATTTAAAGTTTCATATTCAAGAAACTTAGGTAATTGTCTGTGGCCATGCTACCCTGAACGCTCCCAATCTCTGATTTTGGCAGATAAGCAGCAGGGTAGGGCCTGGTTAGAGCATGGATTGGAGGCTGCCTGGGAATACCAAGGGCTGTAGACTTCAAAAAAGGTTATCATTGCTATGTGCTCTTAAAAAATAAACATTGATTAATCCTTGATGAGCTTAACTTTTCAAAATCTGAAAGCCCATTTCACATCCTTGACTTCAAATCTGACTTAAGCAGCATAATCAGGTTTTTTTCCTTCTGGGTTTTTTTTGCAGACGCATTTCAAGACTTCTGGGTTGCTGGTTTCTTGTAGTCCATTGACAACTGCTCACGTTCTCCCTCCCATCCCCTCTTTGACCAGGTAGTCCGTCCAGATCTTCATGTGAGTCAGAATCACACCTGTGACGTGAGCGATGTGGGTGGGGGATGGCGGCCAGCTGTGTGTGGTCTTTTCCACATAGTGAGCTTTGCTGCCCAGCAAACCTGCTGGCCCAGCCCCCATCTCCAAGCTTTCCAACTTCACAGAGGAGCTGGGGCCCTAAGCAAAACGAAGGCTCAGCCCTGCAGCGCGGCCCCATCCCTGCCAGCCCAGCGCTGGGGCTGTGGTGTGCGGGCACCGTGTGTGCAGCCAGTCCCGTCCTCATGAGCCTCGCTCCCATCTGAGGTCAAACGTGAGTGTGCCTGGAATTTGTTTGTAGTTGGTGCGGCCCTGGCTTATCAGACTGTTTCTAGGCAGCTGTGTACGCTTGCTGTGGCTGTCCTCTCCACAGCCACTGGACAGGGATTCAGAGGGGGCCCAGGCCGCTGGCGGAAGTCCTGTGAGCAGGCAGTTGGTGCGACGCAGGCAGAGGCGTCAGCCATGGGGAGGCAGGACGCCGTGCAAAGGGTTCATTTGTCACACTGCATGTTTCTGGGTTTTTTTGAGATGAAGTCTCGCTCTGTCACCCAGGCTGGAGTGCAGTGGCGAGATCTCACTGCAACCTCCGCCTCTCGGGTTCAAGCAGTTCTCCTGCCTCAGTCTCCCTAGTAGCTGGGATTACAGGCCCCCACCACCATGCCCGGCTAGTTTCTGTATTTTAATTAGAGACAGGGTTTCACCATGTTGGTCAGGCTGGTCTCAAACTCCTGACCTTGTGATCTGCCTGCCTTGGTCTCCTGTAGTGCTGGGATTATAGGATTGAGCCACCGCACCCGGCCAGTTTCCCATTTTTAACACAGCTGAAACTAGTCCTTT